TCTGAGTTTGTGTCAGACACACGCGCGAAACCTGAACGCAGTTTTTCAACATCCGGGATATATCTTAATAAATCCGTACGCTGTAATATGCCTCAACCTGTGTATTCGATAATTAAAGCTGCACCGAATACTGATACTTGGAAGGGTTTGCAGGGAGAGGGCGCAAAACAAAAAGGTAGAAGAATGAAACATTCAAACGCTGGGAGTCGAACCCAAATCCCCTGCTTCGAGTCTTCGACCCGGTTGTGATCAATATGGACCGCAGGTGTACACCGCGTACCACGTCCGATTCATTACTTGCTGGGGTCTGGTTGGATGGATGGATACCTGTATGGACGGAGAACCTAGGTGCGCGAGCACAGGGCGCAAAAGAAAAAGGGAAGATTTCGGTATCATTCGGACGCTGGGAGTCGAACCCAGACTGCCTGCTTCAATAGACCCTGCATGAAGCCGAATTAACCACAGGTGTACACCACGTACCACGTCCGATTTATTGCTGGTTCAAACACTGCGATACATGCCGTTCGAATCTCACAAACTAGGGAAAAAGTTGAGTTTGGAAAGGTGAGTAAACCCCAACGAGTCTGGCCGATTTTCCAGAGCGTGAGAGGCGTGCCGGCGGTTTTGGTTTTTGACATTGAGGTTAGCCCGCGTGGAACCGAATTCTCCTCCTACTCCACCTACCCAACCTTTCAACGTCTCCACGCGTGAGACAGGTCCATAGCCACTGGGTAAAAGAAAAAAAGCAGGCGGAATGGGTCACTCGGACGCTGAGAGTCGAACCCAGATCCCCTGCTCCGATAAACAAATATGCTGACTCAACATGGACCGCAGGTGTACACCGCGTACTACATCCGATTCTTTACTTAGTGACCTGGTTGAATAAGAGTCCGTGCGTCAGACACGCGCGCGAAACCTGAGCGCTGAACGCGAGTCACGGTTCAGTTTTTCAACATCCGGGATACCGTATATAATGATTAATAAATCTGCACGCTGTAAATACCCTCAACGTCTGTATCTGATCACTGAAGCTGCACAGAATACTGATATTTGCGAGGGTTCACTGGGAGAGGGCGTAAACAAAAAGATTTAGACGAATTGGCCATCCGGACGCTGAGAGTCGAACCCAGACCGCCTGCTTCAACATCTGGCTTGATATGCCAATATTGACGGCAGGTGTACACCACGTACTACGTCCGATTCATTGCTTGGTTCAAATTGAACATCTCGCCCCAAATAATTATAAAGTAAGTCAATTAAACCGAAGCTAAAGCCTGTGCGAGCGAGACTCGAGACCCACCGGCAACAATGTCAATGTCCGAGTCATACCCGTCATGATCTGCCGCGTTGGGGTGGATCCCTGCTCGTCCAACGGTGAACGTTGAACGTTGAACGCGCGAAGATGAGCCGCCAGTGCCTTTGCATTGAAATTCGAACGCGTGAGACATCACGCATCAAGCTTCAACTTGAAGAGTAAAACGGTGATTTTATTTCTCACCTCCGAACGTGTTCAAGTTCCGCGTGAGAATCAAAGGAACGTTGAGCTAGATTCTCCTCGTAGAGTCGTATCCCACTGCCCGACCTTCGAACGTGTGAACGCGCTCTAGGTCCTCCGTGAAAAAAATTGAGAACCAGCTCCATCATCCGGACGCTGGGAATCGAACCCAGACTGCCTGCTTCGACAAGGACACTAGCTTATTACTGACCGCAGGTGTACACCGCGTACCACGCCCGATTCGTTAATTACTTGCTTGGGCCTGGTTGGTTGGTTGGATAGAACCCAGGTCCCAGACGCGCGAGCAAATCCATCTTTCTTTTTCTCTTTCTAATTTTCTTCAACCTGTAGTACTAGTAATGACCTTCACCGGCTTGAGAATACTCACCCCGTGCCCTGGTCGGACCACCCTGTCCGTATAATCGACTCGTTCCCATTTCATACGGTGCAACTAGCTTCAGCGGCCCACACGTATACAATACAATATCAATTCATCTTATTACACCAAAGACGATCTACTCATTGTACACTGACACCTCAATCGATACAGAGTCTCTAGTCCGTCGCGCACGCGAAACTAAAAACATTCACGAACCGCCGATATGCATCTTCTCCTTCAACCTCGCAAACAACTTCCCCTTCCGCCCCTTGCCCTTCCCGCCCCACGCGCCGTCCGCTTTGCCGTCCCCTTCCCCTTCCCCACTCGCACTGCCACTGCCGCTCTCATCCTCCCCGGTATCTGTCGAAGTCGAATTGGTGGAAGCAGAATTGGCGGTAGCGGAAGTGTTATACTCCGTCGCCGGCGGGTCGCCGGTGGGCACCAAATTACTCTCATGCGCCGGCGGGTGGGGGTGTGCGGCGGAAGAGTGGGGTGCGGCGGAAGAGTGCTCGTGGTGTGGCCCGTCGGCACCCCGCCCTCTCGCGTCCGCGTCCGCGAATCCGTACCCGTGGGCACGACGTCCGCCAACCGACTCGAATTCAGCGCTGCCGAACCTCCCGCGTGCACTGCTTGCCCGTGTGTAGACTGCGCAGCAGGCCGAGGTCGCCCACAAAGGGCGGGAAGGTCGCCCCGTTGTTGGATGCGGGGGGGGGGGAGGTGGGGTGCCCAAACCGCTCTCGCTCGACGCGGGGTACCCGCTATCCATCGAAGCAGTGGGCGCAGCCGCCGGCGTCGCGTGAGGAGTCGGGTGTCGCGCCCCCGTTGCATCTAGACTCTGCGTCGCACAGGCGTGTACGCCGTACATCACCGTGTGCGGTGGCCGTAGTCGAACTGGGGGTAGGAAGAAGGGGGATAGACGTGGAGGTAGTGGACGAAGAGGAAGCGGAGTCGTACGTATGCGCAGGATACGCATGCACATGCGGCTACGCGCCCGCGGCGGGGTGCGAGGGCAGGAGGTCCGGGTTCGGCGTCGGGCGCCCACCTACGCTCGACGAAGACGAGGATGCGACGGCGGGATGCGATGCGAGCAGGCCCGATGCGGGCGTCGGGCGCCCACCTGCGCTCGACGAAGACGAAGAGGTGGCCCTGGGACCCCCGCGTTGACGCCCACCGCGCCCGGCAGCGGGGACCCCACCACCCCCGCCCCCGAAGACGAAGACGAAGACTTCTCCGCCGCCAGCGCGAGTTCGGTGCTCGCGCTCGGCTCCAGCGCGGCGGGGGATTGCACCACCTGCGCGGGCGATGGAGGGCCAGGGGGCCCGAGGGCTGGCCTGGGCGTGGACGCATCGCCGCCGCCGCCGACGCCGGGATGCGAGGAAAGGAGCCCCGACGCGGGCGTGGGCATGGGGGGCGGTGGGCGTGGGGGGCGGTGGGCGTGGGGGGCGGGACGCCGGTAGCGGACGCGGGGTGGCCCGTGTGCGCTGTGGTCGAGTGCGTTGGGGGACGAGGGTGAGAATGCCCCGACGCCAGCGAGCCCCGGGTCTGAGTGGGTGCTTGTGGCGAAGGACGTTTGGGATTGCGCGGCGGATTGGGATTGACTCGGTGTAGGGGACGGTAGCGCCGTGCCCGACGTTGACGGTGCTGCTGCTGTTGGTGTCTTGCCGATAGGGCTCAGGCGCGGACGCGGTGTAGGGTACGGTGGCGCCATGGCCCACGTCGACGGGCGCGGACGCGGTGGATGGGGACGGGGCTGTATTGAAACACACAGGTGAGCATTATCCATGTCGCGAAATAAGAAAACGTACGCAGATACGTGGCAACGCCTTGCGGAAGGTATGCCTTCGCCTGCTCGAGCGATGGCAAGTACAATGGGGCGCTAGCGAGAAGCGCGCTCGCCTGATCCTGTGCGTTCGCTGCTGTGACGCTGGGCGTGCTGGAATGGGACTCGGACTCGAGGTGTGTGGGGAACGCGCCGGGGACGGTGGGGCCGGGCGTACCGACGGGCGTGCGGGTGACGTGGGTACCGATGAACTCGTTCATGCCGTCGGCCCATTCAACTGTGGGGTGGGGAGGGCTGCAGAAGAGATTGCTAGGACCAGGTTCGTCGCCATCAGGGTCGAGTTATGCTAGAAGCGGCGCAAGTAGAAATCCAAGTTTCCAAGTTTCTTCAATTTCGTGCAAGTCATACAGAGACGCGGTGGCAGACGAATATTTGGCGCAGTGCGATACAGGAGTGCGATGAGGTCGAGGAGAAAGAGAGGGTGTGGGAAGCTATAGACAAACAATGCATAATTGTTGACATCACGCGCGTTTGTCTCTTGCTCTCAGGTCTCGCGCGTTCGCAGGCCGAGCAGACGAGTTACCGTTCCCGCTCCTTCATTCAACTTGCCAAAAGGTTCACTTTTCGACAAGGTCGCGCGATTGATGACTGGATCAGCTGGGTCCGAGCCGTTACCTCGCGATGGCTCGAACCTGCTTTCCACTTGCTCAATATACGTGTCAACGTCACACTAAATATCCGATACAGCAAGTTGGCCTCAGATATCTTTTACTCAGAACTCCCACAGAATTCTTGTATTCACCGCTCTGCAACTCGGACTCCCAGGATTCAACCAGAATCTAATCCATGGAATTCAAGACGCCTAAAATGAACCCTCCCTGCCTGTTAGAACTTGTGTTCAAGCTTCAAATTTGCGTGGTTCCACATGGCACTCCGAAAACCCACAGGAAGGCGTCAAGACTCTGTCCCAAAATCGTGGCACATGGGGTTGCAGGTAATCTTACTATTTACGGCAAGCTCACTCCCTTAGATTCGAATACCCGTCGAGCGGAGCTTGTAAAATATCTGGTAAGTACTTCAGTGAGATCAGAAGTTAACTCTCAAGAGCTCGTAGCCCAAATGTTTAAACCCCAGTACCGTGACTGATTAAATAGTTACACTGTCGAATCTCTAGGCGAGAACATCCCTCTCTTCCTTCCCTTTTCGATTTCTTTTCCTCCTTTCCCGTCACAGGACCTCCGATGTAGTACTGTACATTGAAATAAAAATCTTTCTCGCGCCTCGCCCGTGTCTGCACAAGTCCCAACGAGCTATCCACGTTTACAGGCATTCAATCAAGTAGTAAATCGGACGTGGTGCACGGTGTACACCTGCGGCTATTGACTTTGCCTTTCTTGGTATACCGAAGCAGGCAACGCCTGGGTTCGACTCCCAGCGTCCGAATAAGCTAGACAAGCAGCCTTTTTATTCTTGCGTTTCCACACCGCTGATTTGGAGTGAAAATTTCCCCGTAGTCCTAAAAGTTGTATCCCGATCCCCTATGCCTCCTGCCAGGTACACCGACTAAGGCTTTGAATTTCGGGCCAGATCGCAAACAAATACAACGCAGGTCGATCGCGTTCAACCACCAGACATCACAATTATCCCTCACCTCAGTGCCTGCTTTGTAACCGTCTATAGCAGCGTTCGAACAAGCAAGAAATCGGGCGTAGTACATGGTGTACACCTGCAGCTCATAGGTTGAGCGTTTTCGGCATCCTGAAGCAGGCAACATCTCTGGGTTCGACCCCCAGCGTCCGAACTCGTCGGATAGGAACCGTTTTTATCGTTCTGTCTCTGCACTCTTAACTTACACTAATAAGGTTCTATCTGATGGCTTGCTCCCAGGGAAGCACGCGACGAAGCCTTCCACGCAGGTCAGTATTAATCGTTGGATTTCTGTGACCCCAATGCCCAGTCTATCTGGGGAAAGACCCTTGTATGACCAAGCACGAAGCTCTTGACAATACATGGGGTGGTATTCCTCCGAGTTGCATTTTTATACTTTTGGCTGGTTCAGACTTGAACCGGGGGAATCATGTTGATGCCGGCCGATCGGCAAATCCTCGACTAACGACGCAGACAACTTGAAACTGCGTGGAACCTGGGAGGCACGACAAGCGGTTGTATGGGATTATCAGCGAGTAGGAAAAATGAAAACGTCCTTCATCGATAAATTCGAACGCCGGGAGTCGAACCCGGACTTCCTGCCGAAGAAGGATCCAAAATTCCCATTTTCTGCAGGAGTGCGCCACGCACCACGTTCGAGTCACCCTGATGTACACCCTGATATACGCTTTGGGTGAGTGGTGCCGGCGAATTTTGGACCAAAGTGAATTCACCAGCGCGTAGAGATGGTGCTTTCTTCGGCCTACAGCCTGTTGGCAGCAGGAGTCCCTGTGGGTTAAGATAGGAAGAAGGCGCAGCAGCATTGAATTAGGCAAGCGGCTGTATGGGATTATCAGCAAGTAGGAAAAATGAAAGCGTGCTTCATCGACGAATTCGGACGGCGGGAGTCGAACCCGGACCTTCTGCCTTGGTCGAGCCAGCGAAACCAAATTTTGATTTTCAATTCGACTGAGCTTGCCGCCCAGGCCAACCGTGAGAAATTTTAACTGTCGAGCCCATGGAAAGCCCGAGGAGGATTTCGCCCGAAGGAAAACCTACCGGTGCTTGATAACCCACAAGTCGAAGAAAGGGAAAATCTTACAACACTGCCAATTCGAACGCTGGGAGTCGAACCCGGACTTCCTGCCGAAGCCAGATCGAAATTCTGATTTTCTGCAGGCGTGCACCGTGCACCGCGTTCGATTTCTGCAATGCGGTGTTGGCCTGTTTAGGTGAGGGAGCAAATGGCTTGCGAAACTGTCAAGAACCAAAAAAAAGGCCATCACACCTGAAATTTTTGTTTGCGAGCTCAGATGCAACGGCTGCAGCAGAATGTAGCTGAAGGGAAGGAATACACCTCCAATACCAGTCTCCTACCCAGCCTCAGTTACGGGGTTGGGAGTCGCTGTAGTATTATCACACTGTGATATCCGTGGAAATATAATACCGTAAAAAGCCTGATCACACGATTTGTCAAATTTATTGTTTCCGAACTTCAAGGCCCAACCCCTCCACAGAGGCTGGCCTTTAACAACCGTAAACAACATAGCCACCCGCTTAGTTGGGTTTTTGCAAACCTTGCATGTTGAATTCCGGTCCCTCCAGAAATTTGTTTGGGGGTCTTCTGTGGGGTCAGGAGTCTACTAGCCAACATTGCAGAATATTTTGGGGAAGAAAGATTTCAAAGGTGAACATTTTCCCGAAATGTGGCTATGTTGTTTACATTTACTGAAGGCCAGCCTCCGTGGAGGGGTTGGGCCTTGAAATTCGGAAGCAATAATGAATCTAGAACATCAATTTGATGGGCCATTGATTTGTCATACTGTATTTTTACGTTCAAATCGACAGGGGGTGTGACGCGTGACCCGTTTTACCTATTCGACAATTCGACAGGGGCCGAAATTTTGCGTGACAGAGCAAAAATTTCGACAAATTTCGACATTCAAACCGAAAATTTGGTCTTTTTTACACTTTTTGAGCGGTTTGAGGACCTGCGTGACCGCTGGGGGGTTCGATAGAGGCCCGAGTGACGCGTGACCTCCACAAAAATTCGACATCGACAGGGGGGTGCGTGACACGTGACTGTCGATTTGAACGAAAAAATACAGTAATTTACAGCTGCGTACTTCCTACACCAACTCCCAACCCCGGAACGCGAGGGTGGGTAGGAGACTGCTCCAATGCGTCCGATTTCTTCACTGTAGTGGTTTCTTCGTTGGCCTGAAACATCTGTTACTCTGAAGTTAGGCGGGTGCAAAATCCACCTACAATTGCATCCCGATTGCAGGTCAAAAATTCCTCGACGTTAGGGCTGGAAGATTATGATTAAATACACCTCGAGGTTGTACTGTAATGTAATCATATTTTAATCATATTTAATTGTATTTAATCACCATACACTGGTTGGGAGATTCAAGTTTTTCAGCACAATTTACGGCGAAAAATGTCGTTTGTGTTTCAGACATTTTTCACCAAAAAAGTGGGTGAAAAACTCAAATTATTTTCACTATTTTTTGAGCTCAAGGTGAAAAATTCAAAAGAAAGGCAAAAAGTGGTGAAAAATGTTTGAATTTTCCACCTACTTTTTCAGTGAAAAATGTCTGAAAAACAAACAACATTTTTCAGTGTAAATTGTAGTGAAAAACTTGAATCCCCCAACCAGTGATATTTAATTGTATTCTTTGCATATAACAGAGCCATTGGGGAGGCACTTTTCATGGCTACTATGATGTCAGACAGACCCCGTATGGCAGCGACAGTGTTTTGGTGCATGGATAATTTTTCAGAACCACTTTTCACACTGTTTTTTTCCACAGTTTCTGAGGTCACATGACCAGTCACGCTCAAATTAGCCTGTCAACACGCACAAAGTCTGATTTAAATCCGCATCTGAGGCCTCTAACGTCTGCCCATAAGGTGGATCACACTCTGCAGGGCTACATAGTGTCGTACACCCCAAATGCAGCCCTAAAAGACATGTTTGTCCGCATTTGGCTGATATTTAAATATACTCAAATGTACTCAGATTACTTCAAGATTATGGAAGAATACGGACTTGGTGTATTTAATTGTAATCTTGGGATTATATTTGATTATACTTAAATATAATTGTATTCTTATCCAGCCTTACTCGACGTCCCTCAGTTCATTAGTGAACACTCACCACAGCTGAAGACGTCCAGATGGTGTTATGGGCAGGGAAAAAAAGACGCGACTCAGCTCTTCATCCAGACGCTGGGAGCCGAACCCAGAGAATTGTTGCTTGCTTCAGTATGCATTGTCGCACTATTGACCGCAGGTGTGCACCGCGCACGACGTCCGATTTATTGCGTGGATGGCAGTGAACCGATCCTCGCCGCAATTGAGCTGGGTTGAAAGTTGAATTTCAAGTTCGCCGGTCTTGAAGGCGTTCATCGGAGGGTACCTCGAAAGAAGACACAGGATTTAACCGTGGTGATGCATGTTATCAACGAGTAGGAAAAACAAATGTAATCGATATGGGCAATTCGGACGCCGGGAGTCGAACCCGGACTTCCTGCTGAAGTCGGACGCGACGAAAGACATAAATCTCCGCAGGCGTGCACCCTGCACCACGTTTGAGTGACTCACCCTGATGTACACCCTTGAGTAAGTGGTGCCGGTGAATCTTCAGGCCGAAGTGAATTCACCAGCGCGTAGAGATGGTGCTTTCTTCGGCCTAGGGGTTGGCGGCAGGGTTGTTAACTTCATATGAAGAAGGCGCGACATTGAATTAAGCATAGGCGGCTGTATGAAATTATCACAGAGGGAGAAAAGCAACAGCGGGTTCGGCGCATTCGAACGCCGGGAGTCGAACCCGGTCCTCCTGCCGAAGAAGGATCCGAAAGTCCTATTTTCTGCAGGCGTGCGCCGCGCCACCACGTTCGATTTCTTCACTGTGGTGTTGGGCTGTTTAAGTAGGCGAGTAAATGGCCTCAGAAACTGTCAAGGACAAAAAAACGGCCATCACACCTGGAATTTATGTTTTCGAGCTCAGATGCAACGGCTGCAGCAGAGGGAAAATAATGTCGCTGAGGTGAAGGAACACCTCGTGTGCGTACGACTCCTGTCGTGGTGTTTTGCTTAGATGGTACGTGGCGCGCGTGCAAACTCCACTTACAATTGAACGGCGGTAAGCTGTATGCATCGAGCGATACACGTGTAACACCGGATTGATGGGTTAGATACGCCTCGACGTCCATGAGTTTACAGTGAAAGCTCACCTCAACCGAAGCTGCCCAAGATGGTGTTGTGACAGGGAAAAAGAAATGTGAACCGGTTCATGATTCGAACCCTGGGAGTCGAACCCAGAGAGTTGTTGCCTGCCTTTCAATTTGGGTTGAGTAACCATGGTTGAATGCGCCTATGTGTGGGAAACTTGCAACTTACAACTGGTGTGAGTTACCAGCGGGAAAAACTGAACCAGGTCTTCAACGGCGTTCGTTGCATAAGACAGTGAATACGTCGGCTAGATTGCGCTTCGGCGACCTGTGTTGACAGGACTCATGAGTACTCATTGATACTCCCCAGCGCGGAAGGATGGATAAAATATGTTGCGACGATCACACCTATCCGAACGCCGGGAGTCGAACCCGGACTTCCTGCCGAAGCCAGATTGAAATTCTTATTTTCTGCAGACGTGCGCCGCGCACCACGCTCGACGTCTTCAGTGTGGTGCTGGCCTGTTCAGCTGAGCGAAGAAATAGTCTACTACGCAACTAACCTTGAGTCAATTGAACTTGACCTAGGCCAAGCGGCAACTGTCAAACCCATGAAAAGTCCGATGAGGACTTCACCCGAAGAAAGGCCTTAAACCTACTAGTGCTAGATATTCCACAAACTGATTCAGAGAAAAAGCAAAGAGTCTGTAACCACGTCAATTCAAACGCCGGGAGTCGACTTAGGAGGGCAAGCGAGATTCCAAATTATTTTCTGCAGGCGTGCACCGCGCTACACTCGACTTTCTGTACGACCTGCTAGGTAGGCGAGGAAATGAATTGAGAAATCGTCACGAATCAAAATGCGATCAGAGATCCTTATTCGGGCGCTGGGAGTCGAACCCAGAGTTTTTGCCTGCTTCAGTATGCATTGTCGCACTATTGACCGCAGGTGTGCGCCGTGCACCACGTCCGATTCGTTGCTTGGTTCAAGGCGCGCTATCAAGGGCGAACTCATGCGACAAGACGCGGGCGCAGGATACCTAGAAACAAGGCACACTGACAGGAGTGAACCGTAGAGGATCTGAGGCTAGTGTATAGTAATATCAACAAGGAGGAAAAAGGACACCGTTGTCCGTCAATTCGAACGCCGGGAGTCGAACCCGGACTTCCTCCCGAAGCAAGACCTTCAGTTACTATTTTCCGCAGACATGCACCGTGCACCACGTTCGATTTCTCCACTGTGGTGCTGGCCTGCTAGGTGGGCCAGTAATCAAATGCTTGGGAAACCCTCAAGAATAAAAAGGCGATCACAAATGGAGCTCCATTCGGGCGTTGGGAGTCGAACCCAGAGAGTTGTAACCTGCTTCGGTATGCCAGAGAAACCCAATCATTGATCGCAGGTGTGCGCCGCGCACTACATCCGATTTATTGCTTGGTTCAAGGCGCGCTGTAAACGGCGAACTCATGCGGCAAGACGCGGGCGAGACGCGGGCGAGACTAGAAAAAACTGACCTGGAAGAAGATTGGTGGGTTGATCAATGTAATCTGTGTTCCACCAGTTGGTTTGAAGGCTTCGTGAGGGTGACCGGAAGGAAGGCAAAGCGGTCAACCGTGAGGATGTGTGTGGTGTTATGGCAGATACAGAGTTGAAAAGAAATCTGAGTCCCATCTGCCCATTCGAACGCCGGGAGTCGATCCTGGACTTTCTGCCGAAATAGGATAGAAGAAGCAATTTTCTGCAGGAGTGCGCCGCGCACCACGTTCGGGTTACTTACTCCCTCTGAATAGCGTTGGGTAAGCGAGATTTATCAGTGTAAACAAAGTGAACTCATCTCAGCCTACTACGGAATTCGACTTACGCTGAGTCTGCCAGGCCAAGCGTGAAAAATTTCAACGGTCAGAAAAATCAGAACATAATTTCACCCGAAGAAAGAGCTGAGAGCTACCCGTGCTTGATAACCCACAAGCCGAGAAAAAAGGAAAATCTTAGAAACCTGCGAATTCGAACGCCGGGAGTCGAACTCGGACTTCCTGCTGAAGAGGGACGTCAAATTACACCATTTTTTGCAGACGTGCGCCGCGCACGACGTTCGATTCCTTCAGTGTGGTGTTCGCCTGTTGAAATGAGCGAATAAATAGCCTGCTCCGGAATTTGACTGACCTTGAGTCGGTTAAACTTGCCCAGGCCACGCGTGAAAATTTTCAACCATCAGAAAAATCAGAACATGATTTCACCCGAAGAAACAGCTTAGCGCTACCAGTGCTTGATACCCCACAAGCCGACAAAATCTTACAATCCTGCGAATTCGAATGCCGGTGTGGAAGTGCGATTCGCCTCACTCATCGCCTTCGGGTTATGGGCAAGTTTTCTACTCAAACCAAGTTTCTCGGCGCAACACGGCACAAATTTATTCTATCATTCCACATTTCACATCCCACTCATCTTACCTCCACAGCTACTTTAGTTACCCAATTACTCTCAGATTTCATCCACCTCTCAGCAACTACGACATCACATATTTTACGCTCAAGCTATTCGGCCGTACATCTCAAGTACGAATATTTCTCCATCCTCCAAATATTATTCCACAGACCTTTCACCCTCTACCTCACATTATACTGCCCACACCTCTCATATACCACACAGACATTATTTACCTCACCCTACGTACCGCCAACGCGAAGAGTTGAACCGGCTCGGGCATCTCGGACTACGCCGGGGATTGATTTCAAGATGGATTGGGCACCCATTCTCAGCGCTGAGCGGAGCAGCGTACATCTCCCTATTCCGTATTTGCGTAGCTCCCGGATTGCTGTGACGGTTCGACTTTAGCTACGGCTTTTCACCACGGACAATTTACGTAGATTTGTTTTGGATTATTTTCCATCGGATCATTACCTCACTTCCTCTCTTTGTCCCTTACCACCACGTCGAATCGACTTTTGCTGAACATTCCGCACGCATCCACCTCCATTTGAGTCTTCTCAAGCTAAGTTTTCATTATATCTTCCTTAGTTTGCGATCTACGGCTTCAGCGATCATTTCCCAGCCCCCACTCTCATTTTTACCTCAAGACTCGGTGCCGTCACCGGCACGACCTGGACACCTCTCGGTTCACCTCTGGACCAACCTTCTCTTCTTCACCAGGAGTCGAACCCGGACTTCCTGCCGAAGAAGGATCCACAAGTTGTCCGATTCGTTGCTTGGTTGAATGCACCTATGCGTGGGCGTTGACCGCAATTGACCGATTTATTGTCCGCAGGCGTGCACCGTGCACCACGCTCCACTTTCTCCACTGTGTTGGACTGGTCAGGTGAGCGAACAATTAGCCTACTACGGAATTCAACTGAGCTTGAGTCGGTTGAACTTGCCCAGGCCATCCGTGAGGAATTTCACCTGTCGAGCCCATGACAAGCCCGAGGAGGATTTCGCCGAAGAGAGACCTACCAGTACTCCCTAACCCCCAAGCCGATTCAGATAAAAAAGAAAGAGTCCGTCACGTCAATTCGAACGCCGGGAGTCGAACCCGGTCCTCCTACCGACGCGATCTCGAACGAAGTAATTTCTGCAGACGTGCACCGTGCACTACGTTCGACTTCTCTACTGTGGTGTTGGCCTGTTTAGGTGAGCGCGTAAATGGCTTGTGAAAATGTTGAGAACAAAAATGCAATCACAAATGGGAATCATTCGGACGCTGGGAGTCGAACCCAGAGAGTTGTTGGCTGCCTTACAATTGGGTTGAGAAACCACAATTATTGACCGCAGGTGTGCACCGCGCACTACGTCCGATTCATTGCTTGGTTGAATGCGCCTATGTGTGGGAAACTTGCAACTTGCAACTGGTGTGAGTTACCAGCGGAAAAAACTGAACCAGGTCTTCAACGGCGTTCCATAAGACGGCGAACACATTGGCTAGAATGCACCTGAGCGACCTGTGTTAACAGGACACTAGCACTCGCTGATGCCTCATTTGGATCAGCAAGGACACAAAGTATTGCGCCGACGACTCCTATCCGAACGCCAGGAGTCGAACCCGAGGTCGTGCTCGAAACCTTCAATTTTAGCAGGGCCACCACGTTCGAGTGATTTTGTCTGCTAGTGTATTAAACAGATATTGTGGTGTGCGCTGAGCTGATTCAGAACCGGGCCAACCTGGAACACGAGGAGACGGTGAATCTTGAGCTCTGCCGGAGTGGAAGGCGCGCGGCCGTATGAAATTATCAGAGAGAAAGAGAAGTAAAAGTGTTTTGCACTAACAGATTCATTCGAACGCCGGGAGTCGAACCCGAACTTCCGGCCTTAGTTGAGCAGGCGAGATCCCAAATTATTTTCTGCAGGCGTGCACCGTGCACCACGTTCGATGTCTTCGCTGCGGTGTTAGCCTGTTTAGGTGAGCGAGTAATTACAGCCATTTGCGGAACTTACGGCGCGGGCTGCTTTTTTTTTTTTTTTTCACACTTTTCAACGAGGACAGTTATTTTGAGCTCAATTCTTATCCGTTTGTGTTAAGAATATGCTCATTGTGTCCGTAATGAAAATGCGGAGGGCACCACGATCTTCATTTTCCCTGATGCGATCAAAACTGCCTTATTGGGAAAGTATCGGCCTTTTTGTACAGAATGATGAGTGTGATAGCTATAGGTATCCAACTGCCTTAAAATTCTGAGAGGATGGTCTTGGGTGTATTGTAGAGCGCTGGAAATACTGGTATCTTTCATATAGTATCTATTTCCTATATACAAGGTACTCAGATATCCCTCACCATGAGAATGCAGAATACTGGTGAACTAAAGCACATATTGAAAATACCGGTATCTCTAGCCCTCAGTAATACTTATAAGGATGTTGTATCAAATTTATAGGTCAATCTGACCACAATACAGAGGATGCGACAAGTTCTGTACAAAATGACTGATATTTTCCTAATACGGCAATTATGATCGCATCAGGAAAAATGAAGATTGTGGTGCCCTCCGCATTTTCATTATGGACAGAATGAGCATATTCTTAATTTAAACGGACAAGAATTGAGCTCAAAATAACCATTCTCGTTGAAAAGTGTGAAAAAAAAAAACGGCCCGCACCCCAAGTTCCGCAAATGGCTGTAAATGGCTTGGGAAACCGTCGAGAGAGACCTGTCAGTTCTTGATAGCACACAAGCAGAGAAAAATGTCAGATTTTACAACGAATTTGAACGCCGGGAGTCGAACCCCGTTTTCCTGCCGAAATGGCTTTGCCCGAAAAGTAAACACTGCAGGCGTGCACCGCACTACACTCGACTTTCTCCGCCGTGGCATTGGTAGTTAAACATCGGGAAACAGTCAAGAATAAATGCGATCACAAATGGGACTCTTATTCGGGCACTGGGAGTCGAACCCAGAGTTGTTGCCTGCCTTAAATTTGGTCAAGAAACCCTGCATATTGACCACAGGCGTGCACCGCGCACCACATCCAATTTTTTGGTTAGTTGAATGTATCTATGTGTGGGTGCTTGACCGCCATTGACTGCAATTGATCTAGGGGGGGGGGGGGGGGGTATGTTATGCTCATACGGTCCACAGGCTGAACAACGAGTTTACGGAAGACAAACAAGTAGTACTTTAAAAGTTGAGTTTCTGCTTTCAGGTCCGCCTGCCTCTAAAGACTGACCTCAGGGAGGGGCACCTGTGAACAAGGCACAGGCTTGAACCGGGGAGGTTCTGAGGCTAGTGTATAATATCAACAAGGAGGAAAAAGGAAACGTTGTGGATGAGTTCGAACGCCGGGAGTCGAACCCGGACTTCCTGCCGAAGAGCGATCGTAAAAGCCTATCTATTTTCTGCAGATGTGTACCGCGCACCCACGTTCGATGTCTTCCCTGGGGTGTTGGTCTGCTCGGTAGGCGAGTAATCAAACGCTTTCAAGAACCAAAAAAGGGCGAATAAAGTCCACACACGATTTCACTGGAGGTCAGGGTCCCACGAGGTTACAGCTGGAGTCCTGCCTTTACGAAAAGGCCGGCCAGTTCACACCGAGTCAGCGTCTTGTATTGATCGACCCCCTGGAATGGTGTGTGCTCCGATAAAATCCTGTAGTTTATGGACGGACAACCACCCCTACATATCTGCTTGTTTGTTTTCGGTAGACTCGTTGTTTATGTTGTGGTATGGGAGTAATACTGTCTCATAATTCATACCAGGTTTCGAAAAACAATGCACCGGTGTAGGGGAAAACAACACCGTTGGAATGACCTCAGAAAAAAGACACAGCCCCAGGAAGACAAAAATTTCACTGCTGATGCTCTGTAGATGAGATTCACAGGTTCTAATGCTTTCTTTTGCTTTTTACACTGCCCCTCATTTCCAGTGTCGATGTATTTCAGACTTCGGCCCAGAGGACTACCATATTAATACATGTTCACTGGGGTGTCCGGTGACACTTGTTGTGAACTGATGGAATCAATTCAACCATCAGTTCACACCGACAGAGAACATGATGACAATGTGACCTGAACCGACTTGGTGTCTGGCCAGGCAAAAACACCCACTCGGGCCGTTCGGCCTTGGCTCGGCACGGAAGCCTTGAGCGGCCTGATCTCCGCGATCTCACCAAGCACTTGGGGTTGCTAAATAGCAGAAAAATAGCGGGTTGCTGAATAGCAGCAACCCAGGTTGATGGCAGCAGCACGATGGCTGAGTAGAATTATCAGATATTTGTATCAATCTTCTTGACTCTTGATGTCATGATCCGGTTCTTTTCTCCAGACCCCGAACCACTAGATTCCCGTTTGGAATATTGATGCGGCATCATCAATCGCATCAATACATCAAAACCCGAGACGACTCGATCCCGATCGATGCGTAGGCAACGCTCCTTTATTTAACCCCTGCATTTATACCCCTTACCTTCCATCTTTCCCCTTAACTCCCATTTTGACTGATCGTTGACACGTAGTTACTTATTAGCAATAATGCCTAGGTTACTCTCCTATAGTTTATAGTATAAGTACTCTACTTGGACGCATGTACTGTATACTATTCTGGTCTAATCTCCAGTGGCTTTATTTGTTATCCCTTTTCGTCTTGTTCTGTCGCCTCAGTCAGACTCAAACCCCGATCACAGGCCTCTGTGCTGACAAAAGAATAGTATCCACATACCGACTACCCGACAGAACGAACGATGACGAGCGGCTTCTCCATGCCCGGACGCGACGAATTCGTCACCTACGAACCCCCTCAGGCGATTACCCTTCTCTACGAGCAGTCGAGCATCGCTGCCGGACAAATGGTCACGCTCAGTGATCAGGTCGCCACCCTCGGGACCCAGGTGGACGAATTGGCGAATGCGATGAGAGGGCTGGCGAGCAACGGAGACCTGATCGGAGAAGCGCTCCGACAGCTGGGAGACGCTCTCGCGGAACTGGTGGAAATCACGCAGAAGGCGGGGTCTGGGACCCCCGGAGGGAAGGCGGGAACGAAACACCCGCGCGTTGCCCCCCCCAAGGTGTTTAATGGCGACTCGGAGCAGGTTGACCAACTCCTCGCGGACTGCTGGCTCAACTTCCAGAACAACCCGGCATACGAGAGCGACACCTCGAAAATCATCTACACGCTCTCGTATATGAAGGAAGGATCCGCCGGGGTGTGGGCCAACAACGAGGTGCAGTCCATGCGGGGTGTGGAAGGCGGGAACTACTCGAGGTGGAAGGTGTTCGAGGCGGCCGTCATCGAGGCCTTCAAGGGCGGAGCACAGGTAGAAGTGGCGCAGGCGAAGATCGAACGCCTCCGGCAGAATATGGGCACCGCAACGTCCTACTTCACCGTTATGGACTCCCTCAACAAGACCGCGGGATACGATGAGACCACGCTCATTCGTTTGCCCAAGGCGGGGGTCCAATACCCTGTGCTCGAGGTGGTTTATAACGCGGAGGTTATGCCCAAGACGTACGACGAGTGGAAGAAGGTGATTATCAAACACGATGGGCTGAAGCGCGCCATCGCCACGGTCAAGGCCACCCTCGCCGCACCCGGGACATCGGGGTCTTCACTGCCTCGGCTTATGGGGAACCCCGGCTACCAGAACGCGACCTATGTCGCACGCGCACGGAACCCCGGGAACCAGGCACCGCACCAGACCCCGGTCCAACAGAACCAGCACCAGACCCCGTCGCATACCGCCACTGTGGCCGCGACTCCCGCGACGTCGGGGCCTGCCCCTATGGACATCGACCGCACGGCTAGCAGGCCAGGGGCCAACTTCAGACCCCGCGCCTGTTACAACTGTGGGCAGGAGGGACACTTGGCTCGCAACTGCCCCCAGAAGATGATGCAGAACCCGCAGTTCCGTGCAGTGGTTACCGAGATGGTGAAGGATTCGGAGGAGGGTTTTGGCGAAGATCGCGAGTGAAAGCTGTGTCCTCACGATCTACTATACCCCACTCAGGTGTACCGTTGTCTGTTAACAATCGATTCGAAGTCTTGAGACTCCCGGACGAACACCTTGAGTTGGAAAAAACCGCAGAAGCCGAATCAAACCCCGAGACGGAAAGAGAACGGAGTCGAGGGGCTAACTCCCCTCGGGGTCTCCGTCGGAAGGAAAGGCCGCGGACGGAGAAAGCGAGATGGTGCAGACTCCCCGTGGGCAGTACGATCCGGGTTCTAACCCGGATGAAGGAACAAGTCAGGCGGGCCGAGCAAGACCTGGCTCGGTGGGTACATCCGCGACGGAAGGGGGAGGTAACGGCGCAGCTGGTGCGGGATCTGGTAGAGGCATACGAACCCGATGCCCTAGATGCCCTGGATAGCCTGCGCGAGGCCCCGCAGTATATTTGATCCATGGGAGGGAACTCCATGATGTTACCGGTCGTGCTGAAAGAGCTAAGCAGCGGACGCGGGTACACGGTTACAGGCTTGGTGGACAGCGGGGCCACTAACGGGTTTATCAGTCAGAGGTTCATCGACGAACACCAGCTCGAAGTAGAGGCGCTCCCGATGGCCGTCCCGGTCTATAACACAGACGGGACCCCGAATCAAGGAGGCAAGATTACCCACGTCGCGAAATTGCGCCTGGAGGTTCGAGACCACACCGAAGTCTTTTCGTTCGCGGTCACTGACACAGGGAAGAGCGACGTTATCATTGGGTATAGCTGGTTGAGACACCATAACCCCGAGATCGACTGGCAGAAGCAAGAGCTACGGTTCACCAGGTGCCCCCCGGCGTGCAAGAAGGAACGGCTCTGGGAGCAGTGGGAAGAAGAGGATGCAGAAGGAATAGAGGATGGAGACCAGGTTTTTGTGACCAGGATATACCCCGAAGAGACGTTGGAGCAACGGGACGCACAACACCTCCGCGCCATGGGCAGCGTCTCTACCAAGTTAGCAGC